AGTCGGTCACGAATGCCTCAGTATTGTGATGGACACTGTGTTTGGTCATTGATTTCATACATGAGAATTCAGGAGCGGAAGGGTAGCCTTGTGGCTGCCCGGATTCGATTCCCCACTAGGGTATAATGTGTGAAGCCTATTTCTTCTGTAGACCCGTGAAGATCCGGGGTAGAATAGGTCTTCAGCAACCCATGTGCTTGCCATAAAAGGCGACTATGTTTGTCGTAAGAGGCGACTAACGGGATCGGGTGGTCAGTTTCACTTACTTGGTTCACACATGTCATCGGTTCCCAATTGCGCAGATCGATGCTCATGATGTTGATCACTGGATTGTCTGGTCCAGACTCGATTATTTACAGACCGCCGCCATATAGCTGGGATATTGCTGAGTGCGGCGTAAAACTAAACTCCCTCACTCACTATTTCTTCTGTCCCCCCGCCATGATATTGTTGGAATATTGCTAAAAGCGGCGTAAAACCAAACTCACTCACTCACTCACTCACTCACTCACTCACTCGCACGAGAATCCCGTCAGTGACGAATAACATAATCTGATATGAAGGGCAGATCCTACCTACCGTTGGTCCTAAAGTCATCAGTTGTAGGCATATGCGATTTGTCAATGTAGCTAAGTGATCTATAGTTCACAGTTTGTACACAGCTTGTTTATTCCCAGAAGAACCCACAAACGGTCTATACAGTCGGTGTACAGGGTCATTATGTATTTGACTAAACGATATGTTTGAGTTTCAAAATTGGGACCAGTGACAGTCGCGAAGGGACGATACATGACTTCAGTTGTATGTACTATGTCGTCTATTTTTCAGAATTGGCAAGAGAAGGCGCTGTGTTTGTGAAGGAGAAGTCATGCTGCCTATAGCAGACAGTGCAATCGCCAGTCAACCACAACCGTCGTCTTGTGTATAATTAAGTAGACTTTGTTGTAAATTTGTTTGTTGTAGTTGTGTGGTTGTTGTCATGGCAAATGAATAAAGAGCTAGTAAAATGTAAAATGTCAGATAGTAACAAAAGCTGACACACGCTGATGAACAGAGGTAAAATTCCACAGCCCTGAAGAAGATATGCATAAGAAATGATTTGTAAATTAGCATCCAGACAGCTTGTTCAACTTGTAACTGTGTTGTAGATTTGTTTGTTGTAGTAGTTTGTTTGCTGTCATGGCAAATGATTGAAGTACCAGTAAAATGTAAAATATCACATAGTAACAAGGGTTGGTGGCAACACGCACGTTGATGAACACAGGTAGAATTTATCACATGTTTTGAGGTGATTTGTATGTTAGCATCCAATCAGCTTGTTTAGCTTTCAACAGTAACCAGTCAGACGTTTTAATCATGTTAATCCTTACCGTAGATGTTGCTTCACTTGTGTGCTAGTTATTTTCACTTTGCATCTTGCAGTAATAGGTGCTACTTGTTAACCATTACCTTTTATTGACAATGCTAATCTGCTTCTTATCACAATACAAAATGAATTCGTATGTCTCAGTCGCTTTTAGCAATGGACAAGAGGGTGTTATCCATAAAGTTCTTAGACTATATTTCCTTGCTGAGAGACGGAGACAGGCCTCTCACAAGACATCTGACAAGGACCAAATTCTGATAATTCATCAGTGCGCCACTGTATTTCCTATGTATAATTTTGTTGACAATGCTAATCTGCTTCTTATCACAATACAAAATGAATTCGTATCTCTCAGTCGCATTTTGCACTAGACAAGAAGGTGTTTTCCATCAAGTTCTATGTTTCCTGGCTGAGAGACGGAGGTTGACCTCTCACAAGACATCCGACAAGGACCAAATTCTGATAATTCATCAGTGCGCCACTTTTAATTGTTGGGCCCATCACTGCTGCAGACACTTATTTGACCAATATGTAGAGATAGGCCTCTCACAAGACATACGACAAGGACCAAATTTTGGTAATTCATCAGTTTATGATATTATGGACCATACTGACACTTTCCAAAGTCCGGTCTTAGAATTACTAATTGATTTTGACAAAGCATTTGACTCTCAAAAGAAATTATCTTTGTAGTGTTCAAAAAAAATTCAAATTTGGCCCATGCATAATAGATTGGATTACCACTTTCTATAACGACATTGAATCAAGAGTCCCATCTTAGGTATTCTCATTAGAACTAATGCCAGGATAAAGGAGTTAAACATAGGAAATATAGAGTAATTATTGTCTCAGTTTTTCTGATGATACGTCAATGACCCTTGATGGATCTGAACAATGTTTATACGATGTCATAAAACCCTGCAATTATTCGCACGCTTTTCTGGTCTAAAGGTTAATATAGAAAAAATAAGATTAATATTGATAGGATCCAAGAAACGATATCGATCTCGTATCAACTTTGTAAGGAGTGGAACTTTGACTGGTCTCACACCGATTTCAAACTGTAAGGAATAAACTTTAATATGGATAACATGAGCACATTAAATTATGAAGAAAGGTTCCTACAAATAAAACACTTAATGAACATCTGGTTAGCAAGAAATCTTACACCTTATGGCAGAATCACAGTTTTAAAATCCCTCCTCGTGCCCAAGTATATGATACGTTAGTTGATTCATGCTTTGTGCTGTGATAAGTCGGAACACGTCACTGGTTCGCACTACTCTGACTGGAAATGTTTCAACTCGATCGCAAATACATGTACTCCAAGTATGGAATTAAGATGATTGCAGTACAGAACCATTCACAGAATATTGCCAATCAGATATTTCATCTACAAAATCAACTATGTGGACACCCCTAAGTGTACCTTTTGCAACGATTATGACGAAACAATTTATCATATCTCCTGGGAGTGTGACAAGGTGGAAAGCATATGGTGTGAAATGAAAATATGTAACAATGTTCTTGACTCTGTACAATTATACTGAAGTATTATCGACCTTACTTGTATGTATTGAACTGTATACTTTTACATGTCAACCTGTATGTATACCTGAAAAAAGCGAGATAAAAAAAAATATTCTAGGGCTCATTACTACTGTACTGGTCTTATTTGCCCAATATGTAGTGCCTTGTTTGATTGATAACCGAAACCTGTTTGTTTCAATATGGTATATTAATTCATTCTATTGTATGGTCATGTACTGATTTCAAGATCGATTTCTGAATACACCTTTGCATTTCAATTTCAAAATAAAATAAAAACAACAAAAGGTTCATTTTTGGCAGCATATAAACATTTCATGTGATTTGAAGGATCCATAAATTTGTAAGCAATTCAACAGTTAACCCGTTCGCGTTGAACTCTCATGTTTTGTTAGCTACCATCACATGTTCATTTGCTATCTCAAATATTTTATATTATAGGTTCATGTCCGCTGTAAGAGTGGAAAATGACACGTAATCTATTTGAAAACTGAAATGATGAAATCACTGGTTTTACCTCTAGATTATATGTCACAATGGGATTTTGTTTTGTGATGCAAAAACTTAATAATCATATTATATATTTTCAGGCCAACCTCAGTATCCGTCAATGTAGAATGTGCGCATCTCTGATTGGTCGTTAAGCTATTTTTTTTCTTTCAAATACTTAAATGGGCTGTGATTTCTTGGACAGGATGTTGCTTTTGATACATGTTTATTGTTGTATTTTCCCAATGGAAACTCGGATGATTTCCTGAAATCTCGACTTGTTCGAGACATATGCTGCACTAACCTCATTCTCATTTGCCGCCTTTAATGATGGTCAAAGGATGAATTGTCTTGGAATTAATCAGGAATGCGTTCGCATTGGTTATGGAGGCGATAGGTTTACACAACGGGCGTATATGTTAGCGTCAATGTGTAGCATGACTGAAATATGTATTTAGGTAATTCCCAAACACCTAAATATATCACTTCCTTTTCAAATTGAGTGAAAAAATGTATTTATGTTATCATGATAACAGTTCCAAACATTTTGACGTTTCATCATCCAGGAACTGAATCGATAGGATTAAAAGTATACGATGGGATTAAACGATACCAAACAACGTACATCTGTATATTTTGGCTTTTAATCATGGCATACTCTTTGGTGTTTTTAAGCCCTTTTGAATTTCTTGAAACATTTTGATCATTCTGAAATAAAACTGAACTCAATTTGCAGAGAATATTGAAATCGTTTGAAACTTGCCTCAGTGATTAACGTTTAATGCACACTGATTGTGACATATACAAGCCTACAAACGAAAAGGCGAGTGTCGCATGGAACTTTCCAACGATAACATTGAAGATTTGGTTGATGTTTAACATCACACTCAGAAACATTCCAGCTGTACGGTTTGCAAATAATCGAGTTTGGACCTAACAATCCAGTGATCAACATCATGATCATCTATCTACACAACTGGGATGCGATGACATGTGTCAACCAAATCTACCCAATCCACCCGAGCCTGACCATCCCATCCAGTTAGTCGCCTCTTACGACAAGTATTGGTTGCTGAAGACCAATTGTAACTCGGATCTTCACGGGTTGATAACACAGAGGAACAAGAATGGTTTAGCATGCTGAAGCAATGAATGAAAATTAAATGTAAATACCGTAAGGAACTGACAACAGTGTGTGATGTGTGTGATAGCAGGCAGTAGCCATTGTTCATGGAATGTATCCGTCAATGTCAACAGAAAAGAGCGATATCCAACGGTGGTCAGGTGCACAAAGAAACATGGTCTATTTGTGACTCAAATGATCATTCCTCTCCTGCTGAAAAGTACTGCACGCTGTCCATATTACATAACATTTAATACATGTAGTTGGTTCTTTCATTGTTGTTTAACGCTGAACCCAGCAATGTTCCAGCTATATGGCGGCGGTTTGTAAATAATCGAGTCTGGACCAGATAATAAATGTAAGTGAATGACGTCAAATACACATGAGCAGTGGTAAGCATCGAAACATGGATGATAAAAAGGAAGTAGTAATGACATGCTATTTACTTACCTTTAAAAATAACGATCGTTGCAGTTTACTGTTTATGAACTGAACTTTATTATTCAAAATGCACGTACACGTATTTGATGCATACAGAAATCAGTACCTGTGCATACAATCGGAAAACGCTTTCACTGTTTGGATACATTTTGTCATCTGTGGTTATACATTCCTTTCGTCTTTCAAAGAAAATATTTTTCTCTTTGTAAATATGTTTCACATTGTAACATAGATATCTTCAACTATCACATGTAACCAACAAATTTCTTGTTTCTTGTCACGCCCAGGGGGTCCTTTCACGAAGCAACGTTTACTAAGGTTAACCTTCACTCCCATTCTTTAACATTGCACTAATGTTACCTTAGTGACTTACGATCACCTTTGTGCTTTGTGAAAGGAGGCCTTATTTGCCTTAGCCAGTAAGTCGACTCCAGCCGACAGTGTTATTCAATCTGAGAAAAACCTCGTAACCATGTAAATGGCTTTGACCGATTGACCAAAGACGAACTGAAGGAAACGTAACTAGCTGCAAACAACAACTGAATAACCTCATTCCACTTTTGTAAGTTCAAAAGCGGTCGATCATGGTCATATTTAAAGAACATCATGAAATCTCACGATGTACCTGTGACTCAAAGTGATATGCTCTGGAATTGACCTTTTACCTAGTTCCCAACTCACACAATGACCTGCGAAATCAACAGGACAGAAGTTGCAACGTAATCAGTCTGAATGTCAGAGATTGTGCTGCTGAAAGGAACCCATAGGCGCAAATATATCCGTAGAACTATAATTACATATACTGCCTAATTGATATATGTATGCAGATGATATCTGTCATATTTGTCACGCTCTGGTTAATATAACATATATGGCTATGTGATTAAGGCATGAGAACAGTAGTTTTTATATAGTTTTCAACATATCATATACATTGTATACTAATCTTATTCTTTTCAATTTTATTCAACCCAGACATAAATGAGGAAACGTCTAAACAGAGTAACACGACAGTTTTTACGTGTTTACGTGCAATCCCTTTCCAGTTACTGGTATGCCTTTACACTAAACGCAGTTTAGACATTATTAAATCACAATATATATAACATCTATCTGAATAGGGAAAAAACATGTTAAACGCCATAAGCAAGAGTGTTAACTAACATTATTACATAATTAGGATGGCTTTTGAACCGTAACCTATAGGTGACGATCCGGAATAGAATTGGTCTCCAACAACTCATGCTTGTCGTGAGAGACGACTAATTGGATCGGGTGGTCAGGCTCGCTGACTTGGTTGACAAATGTCATTTTATCCCAATTGCGTAGATCGATGCTCATGATGTTGATCACTGGATTGTCTGGTCCAGACTCGATTATTTACAGACCGCCGCCATATAGCTGGATAATTGCTGAGTACGGCGTTAAACATCAACCAAATCATCTGTGGTATGGTTGGAAAACGGCGTTAAACAACAAAAGAAGAGGCAGAAGTTGACCCGTAGCCACTAGAGCCTTTCGCGCTTCTGACCCATGTATATGTCCCCACATGGACATAAAGGGTCAAGCCCTTCCTGGAGTGCGTCGTTGTAATATTACAGAATAATAACAGAAGGCGACTTTAGAATACCGCGTAGGTCACTCACTTATTAGTAAAAAGCAGACAGCTTAGCTTGAAACAATACATTAAGACATTGATGCAGGATATATCTGGGAAGATCATTGTCTGCATGAGTCGAATCAAAGACTGCTAGAAGATCTTGGATACAGCAACGATGATGACAGCATCTGGAATAAGTTAGAATACACGGTCACTGGGTTGTAAACAAAAGCATGCATGGTGGGTGATACAGGAAAAGGCATTTTCGCAAACCCAAAAGCTCTCCAGTAGTTGTACATCATCGCCTACAAATAGTCTGACAAATTATATCAAAGCACGAAAGGAGTCTTCAATATGCAACCATAATCCCCATGAGAGGGCAGTCTATATGCACGCCATTAAAAATTGCTTAATTTACCCCCTGATTCAAACGTTGTATATTGGTTAATTTCTAAATTCGCAAACAGTCGCCAACAACTGAAGTAATAGATTATCAAAAATAGAAGAGTGGTGAGTGGGTGAGTGAATGTTGTTTAATGCCGCAATCGCAAATCGTACTACAGAAGAATGTGCAGGATCAAATGAGCAAGAATCCACATGATTGACGTAGAACATCACCCATCAACCATGTGGCAAAACTTGATCATTACAAGAATGAATCCCTCAAAGTATATATATATATATATATATATATATATATATATATATATATATATATATATATATATATATCGCGTTTTTTCTTACTTTGAACATCCATAGAAGCTACCTCTTCATAATATATTTTGAAAAGATGTTTTCAAGCGATTACATGATAACACATTTGTCACGAAGTAGAAATACTTACAAATAGCCACAGAGCCTGTCTTGAAGCTGCTTGCCGAGTCCTTTATAGCAGCTAGGATTACAAATACACACTAAGTCAAAGGATCGAATAATTTGTACATATATTTTAAATCAAGGAATACTCAACAGACCAATTGTCAACTGAACAGGACAAAATTGGCTCAGCCATCGAGAACACAACTTTCCTTCAACCCGTTTCCATCTACTTCCACTACTCCACACAGAAATGTCTCAACACGGTAGTACAAATACTAGGATACAAATGAACGTGGTACGTCTCAAACAAAACCGGAAGTAATAGCGAATGGAATTGATCGTACAACGTGTAGACCACAATGCATTATGGTCGTATAAATAGCTTCACACTTTGAAAGTTACCAAGCTTTTAGTTGTCCACTTTAAAAACACGAAATCAAATATCGTAATGAATGTCATTACAAGTATCATAATATTTGATTAAAATTGATGCTGCGATAATGTATCGTTGGATATTAAGCCATAAGATCTCTTGTATTGCTACATTCGTGGTCCAGTTGCAGACTCACCTGCTCTCTGCTGGCATTCCTTGCCGCTAAATTCTGGCTGGCATCCAGCAGGACATGCGCCGCTCACAGTGTCACATTCGTCTCCATTTAGACAGTAGCCACACTGCCTGCCACATCCTTCCCCATAGGTGCCTTGTGGGCACCTCCGCTTGCATGTTGCACCTCTCCATCCCGCACTGCACCCAGCAGGGCACGCACCTGTACTGGAGGAACATGACTCATTAGACTTACAGTTGCCACACCTGTACTGGCAGCTACTTCCATACAGTCCCTTTGAGCAGCCTGAAATAGATTCACCTCATGAAATATCTAAATCTAAAAAGAAGCTGCGTCATGGACTACAAATGATAATGTCTGAATCTCGTATACGCTCGATGCTACGTGCTAATATATACTAGGCGTCATCAACAAAAGGTCAAATGTAATATAGAATATGTAAAGAAAAGTTTCTCAGACATAATAGAACTGATGTTTAATATGTTGTCATCATAATGTTTAATATGTTGACAAACGTGACACAACGCTGTCTGAGGCTGCTTCATTCTCAAGCCAAAATGGCAACTGAGGGAAATTTGAATTTGACAGCTTGACATGAGCTTCTTGCTGTTACAGATCCCGGATCATGAGCTTCTTGCTGTTACAGATCCCGGATCATGAGCTTCTTGCTGTTACAGATCCCGAAAAGGTGATTACGTTGCTTACTCGAAGCGATTCATGGCTTGCAACGCACCCCATATAAAAACTTCCAAGGAGAAAGTATTATCGGTTTGTAACTTGATAAATATATATCCTATTATGATCATAGCACTTCCGGTATCGACAAAAACTGCATCTCAGTTTACAGCAAAACGTAAATGTTGCTTTGAAAAATATATCAAGCTAACTCAAGTCTAAACACATCCCACAGTCAGCAAAAGTTTATAAAATGGGGCATTCGGTGGAGAGGGTACAAAGCTCATCGTAATTCCCACCATAAGGATTAATAAACTCCATTATTTACAGACCGCAGTCATACACCTCAAATACTGTTGCGTTTGGCAAATACAAACATGCAAACGCGATGCGTCATGTGTCGAAAGAAGCGGGGATAAAATCCATTTAATAGTTTTGTTGACTGTTAGAAAACGTCTTTAGTTCAATATGGCCTCTAACCAAAGCACATTGACACGAATCTAAGATTGATTGATCTATGGCGGCGGTCTGTCAATAATCGAGTCTGGTCCAGGCAATCCAGTGATCAACGTCATGTGCATACGATAAAATGTGTCATCACCCGATCCCGTTAGTCGCCTCTTACAAGCATGGGTTACTGAAGACCAATTCTAACCAGGACATTCACAGGCCTAATCTAAGAACAAGTACCTGGGCATCATGCGATGTTGGCACATACTACTAGTTTGCAGTCTCTCATTTGCAAAACCAATCAGGATCTACATTTTGGAACAAACCTTTTGTGAAACTTGAATGTAGAATCAAATGAAAGATGATGGCAACAAATCGGATATCTAAAAGCAGTTAAAGGGTTTTGATGCAGGAAGAATCAAGACAATTACTGCAAATAACTGCATTGGCTTGAGTCGGAGGAAACGATTGCGGAAGAGAACTAACACAAAACGTCAAATAAGCTATGCACATGTTGAATCCACTATGCCTACCATTTTTATAAGCCCAACGACACACGTTCTGAGCAGTATTCGACACAAAGCCGTTACTGCAACCACTTTACATGATAACTCACCATTAAAAATATACAAGTTTGAATCAATCTAGCAGCCATTGAAGATGTATCACAACAATGATAGCATTGAAGTAAAGAAGATGGGCACGAAGTAAGTAAAACAAAGTTTGGAATCATTTGATGAGTCAGGAGGAGTAGACTTTGGCTGTACTGAGAAACTGTCAAAATGCATGTCCAACAGCTTGGTACATGTACGTTCAGGCAACATTGATCGGCATTTGATACCACTGAGCATGACAAGGCTTGAAGTAATCCGTCAGTTGATTTCTGAGGTACTTAGAGTGCATGTATGTATGTATGTATGTGTGTGTGTGTGTGTGTGTGTGTGTGTGTGTGTGTGTGTGTGTGTGTGTGTGTGTGTGTGTGTGTGTGTGTGTGTGTGTGTGTGTGTGTGTGTGTGTGTGTGTGTGTGTGTGTGTGTATGTATGTATGTATGTATGTATGTATGTATATATGTATGTGTATGTTAGTATGTATGTATGTACTGAAACATTACAATATGGCTTTGGGACCAGTATCATGATAGTTCACGATAACCCATGAATCCGCATGTTCGCCTTCAGCAGAGTAAGACATGTTTACATAATTAGCACCCGATCATGGCTTGGACCAATGCACTTACCTTCATTGCAGAAGTTCCCAGAATACCCCTGCGTCACACCCGACCAAGCAGGATCCCGTGGTCTTCTCACACAGAAAATTCCCACCCGATGTACAGTGACCACACACACCTGTACAGCTGACGCCATATCGTCCAATAGCACATCCTGCACAGAAATGTTAATAAATTATGAGGTACATCACCTATAATTTGCTTTTACCTTTGAAATCTTTGACACCTGGAACGGATCTAACAATCACAGTAGAATGGGACAGGTGGCAATAGTAATATGTTAAAGTAGTTAATATGTTAAAGATGTTGTAATACATGCTAATACTTTTACTGTCCTTGAATATTCACCAGATCACCCCCCATATGAACTAGATGTCTTCTGTATTCGAACACATATCCACACTATACCGTCGCGATCTCCAAATATGTACCATCATCACGACAATTTTATAAAGGTGCCATAAACATATCGTCGCTGTACCACCAGTTTTACAATTAGCTACTGTATTCTACAGTTAACTTGGTTTTATTATTCAATACAAATTACTCAAAAGATATTCGTGCGGTAGTACAAGAAAATCGCTATATGAAAACATACCTTGCAGTATGCGAACAATATGCAGTGTTAATAAACATGTACGCTTGACCAACATAGTCAACATACTATGAGCTATACTGTATCTCTTTAGTGTATATTTATGAAGACGTAGTTTCTCTTGCACTCAATCATCATACACGTAGGCATATTGGAAGTTTGTTTACCTGTCTCTATTGAATTTGGAGAGAAGACGTGGATCCCTGTTATCTGGTTGAATGATCCAGAAGAAAGTGTAGCTGTATGGGTATGATTGTCATTTTCAGGGATCACGAGGATGTTCCTGTAAAAAGAACTCTGAATGGAATCTGTGTGCCTGATGAACGTATCATCGTGTCAGTTATCAGCGTATCCTTTCACAAATGAATGAATGATTGTTTGGTTTGGTTTCTGTTTTAACGCCGCATTCAGCAGTATTCCAGGTATATGGCGGCGGTCTGTAAATAATCGAATCTGGATCAGACAATCCAGTGATAAACAGGCTGAGCATCGACCTATGCAATTGGGATACGATGACATGTTCAATCAAGTCAGCGAGCCTGGCCACCCGATCTCGTTAGTCGCCTTTTACTACAAGCATGGATTGCTGAAGATCAATTCTAACCCGGACATTCACGGGGAATGAATGAATGAATTAATGAAATCGTTTATTTCAGTGTATCAAGCATACAATATGAATGATATGTCACAGTGACAAACATCACATCGTAACGGCCGTGCAATGCAACGCTTTTACTAATGCATATATGTTAGTCTCATCCCTATAATACTGAAATGAAGTTAATCAAGAGAAGAAAGTTCTAATACAAACTAAAGGCTTTCAGTGAGTGAGTTGTGTTGAACGCTACTGTGAACGTTTAGGCCTTTTAACGCTGATCTTCAGCAAAGAGTAATTATTGAAACTGAGGAATTGACAAGAAGTCTCAAATTATGCAGGTAAAATCAAACATAACCTTTTCAACGTAAGCCTTTTATGGCTTATTAAATAATCGAAGAAATGGCCTTGTTTGCATGCTTGTTCTTGGCCATACACATATGCACTGATTATACAAATAGTGTAAGTTGCTATCAAACCTGTTAGTTCTATCAACATCGTAGAGGAGGCCGTTGAAGACCGCTATATCCATGAAGTGAGGCTTTGGTCACTCTGTCCGTGTAATGTGTTTTCCTTTGTGTGCCATCCTTCATGATAGAGTACACGTTCCCTGCTGTATTCGCACCAGTAGAGACTGACTCGGCTCTCACATGATTAAAATCATATCAAGAGAGAGGTATTAAGGATTTTGTGTCCGAGGAAAATATTTCACGATTAAACTTGACACAGATGCATAATTGATACAAATATATGTTATGTTCATATAATTAAAACTCAAATACATGTATATATGTATAACACATTTAAGTGAAAAGTTATCTTATTGTGCATTATTTTTCTAACAGTACGTAGATTAAGATCTGTGAAGTTTGAATGCTAAGTACACAAGTCATTATTGATTTAGGTTACATAAAGGACTATTGTCGGTTACTGCGGCAAAATATGATTACTGGGTCCCCATTCACAAAGCGTTCGTAACTTTTACGACCTGTCGTAACTCTATAGTTTACCATTGGCTTACGAATGTCGTAGCGGAACGAATGCTTTGTGGATCGGGACCCTGAAGTCGATTATTCAATACAAAATGATAGTACTTTTCTTCGAGGTAGATTATAATATCATACACGTAACAGTAACGTATAATCAACGTAGATGTGAGTAAGTATAATCTATGCTGATGATATACTTTTATATTCAATGTGGCTCTAACAGCCTGTGTGTTCCACGATTTACACAAAGATGGAAGAAATTACTTTCTTCCTGGAAAACCATTTGCAGACATAAAATACAATGAAATAGTATATCTGCGATGAACACGTACCTCTGTTACCATTACCGAATTAAAATGATCAATTGAGCGATGATAATTCTACTTTAAGAAGGATCATATTATATGCTCATAAATCTATACTTATACAAGCCTAAATCATATATCTATTTTGCTATTTGTTTTGTAGCTTCAATCCCATATGCTGGGTTGACTTGTCCTGAAATAGTCAACCGGCCTTTCTAATTATTATGAGAAAATTATAACAACTAGTACTTTTAAAACTCCACTGAAACTGAGCACATGAGTAATACAAATTACCTTTATATATTCTCTTTCATTTCCTTTACCATTTTCAAATGTGCTTGCTGTTATCATGAATCTGTGCGTTTTAATAATGGGGAATTGGAGTAATTTATGCATTGACATTATGTTATGAACCAATCCTCAACTCACTTTTCTCGTTGATGGTAACCCCCATTGGTGCATAAATGGTATTAATGCTCTTTGATACGAGAATCCTTCTTCCAACTCCATCATAGTTGCAAGAACTGATTGTGTCAATCGAATGATCAACCCAGTACAGTTTCCTGAAATGTAGATGTAATGCCGCCTACAGCATTCTCAAAGTCAAAATAGATCCAATTGCAAAGAGTAAAGAATTGATATTCACATGTTTTAAAGTGAAACTGTTGGAATTACTAACCCAAAATGTTACATGCAACGTCTATGCCGAAGAGCTTCACGAACGTTAATTCTTTCTGAACTCTAAGAACTCATGCAGAAAACAGACATGATCAAAAACAACTGGCAACATGTAACTTTTGATGCATAACTGTATACATCCGTACATACAAGCAGTGCAAAGCTGTGACAGTATATAACCGAACTGTGTCACAATATAGCATAAATGTTGTGCAATATGATGGAAACAGACGTAGAAAAGACACAGTAAAGGAAACAGTACCCGCTTGGCGTTAAGGGATTATTTTCAGATCAAAGTTAGTATTTTGAAAAGTGTTTTGATTGTCACCTACACGTCAAAAACAGTTGCTAACACCTTGTTACGACGTCAATTTATCATCGCGTTAATATGTATTATGTAATAAACTGCGGTTACAATTTACCGCAGTTTTTATTACAATTTTCCGCAGCGTTACTACAATTTGCCGCAGTTTGTTTATTACTTTTTAAAGCGTTATTACAATTTACGTCGTAACACACCTCCTCAGTTTATTTCTATTTCATTGAAGAAAATGTAATGTTCTTATCTTCCTGAATACGTAAACTCGATGTGCTGAAACTTAATATGTTTCAAATATGAAATAGATGCAAGAAATTCTCATTATAGTTCTGTTTATACTTATTCTTCTCATAGATATTATTTATTGTCCAAGTTTTCCAAGACTGATGTATATATTCTCAGCAACCTGCAATGACAATATGTTCGGGGGCGGATACAGCTTTTTGAGTGAGTGAATGAGTGAGTTAAAATTTATAGTCACATCGGAAATATTTCAGCCATATTGTGACTTAAAAAGTTATAAATTAACAATGAACACAATTACATTATAAAAAACACCTGTCAACGACAGTAAAACAACTAGATTATCATCAGGAATAAATTTAAGACTAGTAATTAAATCTAAAATATTTTACCTATAAATAACAATACAATATAGAAACCGGCTATAGATTGCCAACAACTGAAGGAAGATCACCATACTAGTCACCATGGGGACTTACAGTACATTTGCTTCCTGCATGGGCCCTAGCTGGATTTACATTAACCCCTCAGCTGTTAGCAATTGAGATATATCTAGCCATACATTAAAATTACACATATTCTACGATTAAAAAAACAGAAAGTTGAAATTTACTTTGAATGTTTTGGGACTTACGTACCCTCTCAGGAGGACGATACAGCTTTTTGAGAAAGGGGGGATGCACACTATTGAGAAAAGGAGGGGTGCACACTTCATTTTCACCCGACTTTCAATTGTCATTTAACAAACTTTCAGCACAAAAGGGGTGGTGCGCACCCCTGCACCCACCCTCTGGATCCGCCTGTGATGTTGGTGTAACCGGCAAGTTGTACCATTGCTAGCAATAAGAATGCTCTTACCTGTCGATTTTGTCTGCTATGATGCCTTTGGGGTAGATCACATTTGACCTCACGATCGTTGTTCTTGCAAACCCATTCATATTGATGCTAACAATGACTTTATTTCCTCTGTCCGTGTCGAAGATCTTGCCGGCACTACCATCAACACTGAGACCTTCCGGGTAAGAAACTGAAACGTACGTTGCGTGAAGCGATCATGCCATACGTTTGGATCCAAAATACTTAGAAAATGAAAAATCCTTCAAGGGCCCCATCATTCCAGATTAGACAAGAAGGGAAAACAACTTGCCTGTTTGATTATCTTATCCAGAGGTAAGCCCATAACAGTCTTTGATGTCTAACACTATGGATAGAAAAGTTTTTCTGCTCGGGAATGTAAGGTATTCACGACTCCATGGCCAACAATAACACAAAAAGTAACTCAGACTAACAAAGAGTTACTTTGCTTTATCACTTTAGAATTATTTCAGTAATGTCATGGTGTGGCAGTTTATGTGGGGAAAAGCCCAAAGTGATGAAGATCTTTACTACTGTGGTAACCCGCAAACCTGACAAGCGTAATTAGGGCTAATATTAATCGGCTATGATAACACTAAACACTTCCACTCATTTTACGATATAACATTTTTCTTGAAAACGAATTCACCTACTGTTGTTTAGCTTTGCTACAAGTGTATTATCTCCAGCAGTGAGATCAGCACTCCGGATTTCCTCTCTGCTGATATCCGTCCAGTAGATTCGTTTGTTGACATTGTCATAGTCAATGGCTGTGGGGGTGGTGATAGAAATAAGAGGGTGTCGTGTCAGCTTGTGGCCATAGATATCCCATCTGTAGACAGATCCTGGGGTGAGAAGCGTGTGGCGTTCGGTCAATAAGATCACAACTTCAGGGGGACCTGTAAACACAACGAAAACTGAAAATGTGTTGCATTACACAAACATAAGGGAAAGCCCAGTCTTCGCCATTTATAACATACCCACCTATCTTTACAAACTTATAGAGGGACGATGGGGTAGCCTAGTTCGCTCGTCACACCGAAGACCCGGGTTCGATTCCCCACATGGGTACAATGTGTGGTGTTCATATCTGGTGTCCCGTGAGGTGATACAGTACAACCAAAAAATATTGAGAATTTAAGATTGTAATTTTTTATATTTTTTTGACTCATTACTCACGTATTAATTGTGAATATTAGCAGAACATAACTCCAGATTCAAAGACAGGTGAACAGTTAGTATTTTGTCAAGTCACCATGGGCAGAAATGCAGGCTTCAATGCGGCGGGGCATACTGCTGATCAAAGAAGTTAGAAAGTCGTGGTCCATGCTGTCCCAATATCGGACCACCTCTTCTTTCATTTCAGCAATATTTGTCAGATTTTTCTTGTTGACATATTCCTTCATAAGTCCCCAAACATTTTCGATTGGATTGAGGTGAGGGCCATAGCTTGGCCAATCTAATAATGTCATATTTTGGGTCCGAAACCAGGCCTGTGAATGCTTTGAACGATGTTTTGGGTCGTTGTCCTGCTGGAAAATCAAAAATTTCCATAGAACACGTGAGCAGATGGAAGTAAATGTCCCTCGAGAATACCTGTGTACCGCTCTCTGTTCATATTCCCTTCAAATACACAGACGGGCGTTGCCCCTAATACAGATATGCCACTCCACACGTTAAATTTCGGACTGTACTTTGGGCGCTGATACAAAGGTTTATCAGTTTGTTTGGTCCAGAATTTCAGTGTATTAGGAAACGGCCACACAGAACTTTCATCTGAGAAAATCCCATCCCATGCTATAAGTACCAGTGCAACCCTCGCTCCTTTTGTTCAGGTTCAATGATCGGTGATGGAATTCCTCGACTTTTCTGCCAACCCATTGCATGCAGCTCAGTTCTAATTGTCTCCTTACAGACAGCCACAGTTCCTCTGTCAATTATATCCAGCCTTAAGTTTTCTTAACTCCTTCGTTGGTTTTTAGAAACAAGAATACCAAGCCGCCTCCTGTCACCGACGGTCAATTTGCTGGGCCTACCTGCGCCTTCCTCGTGCTCAATGCCATATCCATTTGCAATATATTTCAAAACACGATAAACAGTGGACAAAGGGATGCCTGTTCTACTTGAAATCACTTTAGCTGATCTGATGTCCTTGTTATAATACTCTAAAATCAAGTTCCTCTTCTCTTAATCATCCATACTGAGGATCACTGAAAATGTCGTCTGCTAGCAAGTAAACCAAAGGGGGATAACTCTTCACAAACTAATGAAAAAGGATTAACGGAGTTGTCTCTCTTGAATGAAACCAAGCACTTGATAGCTGGTCAAGGTTGTTTATACTAGAAATCCAATTAAACATATTCCCAAAATTCTCAATAATTTCTGGTCATACTATATTGCTGGAATATTCCCCAAAGTGGACCCTTATTTACTCACTCTCTCGTGACTTTTATCCTCTTATTTCAGGCAGTTGAACGTTGTGGGCACTGCTTACTATTTAACTGACACTGGTCTGTTTGGTTTTGTTTCTCTGTGCTTTGGATAAAATGCATTCAATTGATTGACCTATCAAACATTTTACTTGGGTATCTTTATAGAACTTTTTGTTTTTTCCCGCTTTTCCAAATGTTTTCCTTATCTTACTCTAATTTCATTGGTCAATGACGCTTTAACAAGTTTGCGTGTCACCCCCTCCAATGAGGGTGACAACTGGAAAAAATATTACCCGCTGCCACTGTAACCGCCAAACTCTCCGTCGAGAAGTTGTATCGCTAACAATCGTATGACGTCATAATATGACGCATGCAGTGCCCGGAGTTCGAAAACCGTTCGATTAGCTGTTTTTGAGTTCTCTATGTACAGATATATTTTACCGACTTTCACTTCTTTATTCAAACTATTTTATACATTGAATCGTTTTCACACTCAACTTAAACATAATTAACCATTTTTATAGCAGTTTTAAGTTTGTCAGAATATGTTTCACTGATTTAAACAATCCAGTCGAGAGGCAGACGCCATTTTGTTTACATGTTATATAGTAGGTAGCGATCTTCAAAATGAAATAAAATGATATTTTGTACATTTAACATGGCGGTAAGATAAATACGTTGTATGCTTCTCCCTCGGGTAATACGCTCTGATGTACGCCTCTTTGTAGCAGCAGTGTCACCCGAGCTGGTAGGCGAGGGATGACACTGCTACAAAAAGGCTTACATCAGACCGTACCGGCTCGGGTGACACTGTTACAAAGAGGCGTACATCAGACCGTATTACACTCGAGAGAAGCATACAACTTATATTATTGTCTGGGTCGTGTGTTCGGTCTAGTTTTCGGTCTTAGCTTTCAGCTTAAAATGTATCAAGACATGGATAATTATATCGAGACATGGAATGTCTGCCTGGGTCTAAGCTACCCCAACACAAAGGAACATCAGTTATGTCACCAATTCCTGAAAGGAACATTTCGGCGTCCACAGATTGACCGTTACGTGAGCGTCCTCACATTGGCCTTTACGTGAGACATAGAATGGATACAAGAGTGTACTTCTTGGCATTGAATCCTATATGGACTGTCAAAATGTGTAGTTTATGGACCTTGATTTTCACATACCTCTATCCTTACACTTGTTCCCTGGCCAACTTGTTTGGCAGCCGCTTGGACATTGTCCAGTCTCATGATGACACGTGGTCCCTGTTTGACAATGTCCGCACAACTCAGAGCATTTATTGCCATATGTTCCTCGACTGCATTCTGTGATTTCATAACAGAAACGTACATTTTTAACTTTCCATCAGGTATATATATTTTTTATGTCTTTTTACCATTTGCATTGATAAAATTTGCAACTGTATGAAAATCAACTTTCTTGAATCGAGCGAGAGGAAAACTGAAGTTCTTCTTGTTGGATCCCATCGGCAATTACAGAAGATACCCGATTCTACACCAGTAGTATCATGCAAACAAGTATGGAATCTGAGCGGATTTTTCTACTCCAATATGACAATGAAGAATCAAGAAGCAGCAGTTTACAAAACAGGTCATTTCCACCTCCATCAGATTGGAAACTCCGCAGATACCTTTCTCAAGATGCAACTAAAATGCTAGCTCAATCGCTTATTATCTCGTGACTAGATTACTCTAATTCCCTGTTATATGACATATCCTCAACACTCCTTCACAAACTTCATCTCCTCCAAAATACAGCTGCCAGGATCATTACAAGGACACCTAAGCACCAACATATCACTACTGTTGTCAAACAACTCCATTGGCTACCAGTTCCCAGTTCAAGTTCAAAATCTTATTCCATATTTTCCAATGCCTCAAGACTCTGCTGCTTTATATCCCAAAGGCCTTGATTAGCTTCACACACCAAGCCCCTTCCAAAGACAAGGACCTTCTCCAAAAGCCTCACTGTAAAACAGCTATGGGTAAACGCAGTTTCAGATGTGCAGGAGCATCTATGTGGAAGGCTCTTCCAGATCATATCAAGTTATCAGAAACGCCATCAACATTTCGGACCAATTTAAAAACTCATTTCTTCAAATTGCCTATGAACATACTGTGTACATACAGTGATATGTGAAAGCGCCAGGCAACAGGGAACCTTCAACGCTATACAAATGACCAGATTAGATTAGATATGACAATGTGAAGACATGCATGGATAAACAAAGCCACAGCTGCATATTTTGCATTATATTGAAAATATCTATTACCATCACTGCGTATACCAGTATAAAGAGTACATTCGTAATGATACATTCGTCTTGCCTGTAAGAACTTAGTAACGTTACACTTTTTGGTCAGTCAACTGTATATGGCGGTGTGGTGGTCAATATTGATCAGTGTGATGACCATCCATACACCCCTTATTGCAAGTAACAATACGGTAAGCTTTATATTTACCATCAGTGCAGAAGTTCCCAGAATACCCTGGATCACACCCAGCCAAACAAGATCCAGTGGTCTTCTCACACAGAGACATGCCACCAGCACACCGGCCACACACACTTGTACAACCAGTGCCATATCTTCCATCAGCACAGCTTGGAGATGAAAATTAGTTATGAGAACATGCACCCACTGTGATTTAGTTTTTAACCGATGTTGATTTGACAATCGGAACGGAACACAAGTTCATCATTAATTCAAGTTCATTTAGAGACACCAGAAATATTACAGGAAATCGTTAGTTATGAGAACATACACCGACTGTGATTTAGTTTTTAACCGATGCCATCATTAATTTGACACACGGAACGGAAGACAAATTCATCGTTAAATTCAAGTGTAATTAGAGACATCAGAAAGTATCATAGCAAATCCTTGCCCTCAACATGCAAAGACCATACGATTACAGCAACATGAACCATACCCCGACCATGTATTCACCATTTCATGACCATTCATTCACCATGCATCGCCATCAATTCACCGTACCATCACCATGCACTCATTCACCATGCATTCACGATATCATGACCATACATTCACCATTTAATGACCATGCATTCACCATATCATACCAGTTTACAAAACAGGTCATTTCCACCTCCATCAGATTGGAAAACTCCGCAGATACCTTTCTCAAGATGCAACTAAAATGCTAGCTCAATCGCTTATTATCTCGAGACTAGATTACTCTAATTCCCTGTTATATGACATATCCTCAACACTCCTTCACAAACTTCATCTCCTCCAAAATACAGCTGCCAGGATCATTACAAGGACACCTAAGCACCAACATATCACTACTGTTGTCAAACAACTCCATTGGCTACCAGTTCCCAGTTCAAGTTCAAAATCTTATTCCATATTTTCCAATGCCTCAAGACTCTGCTGCTTTATATCCCAAAGGCCTTGATTAGCTTCACACACCAAGCCCCTTCCCAAGACAAGGACCTTCTCCAAAAGCCTCACTGTAAAACAGCTATGGGTGAACGCAGTTTCAGATGCACAGGAGCATCTATGTGGAAGGCTCTTCCAGATCATATCAAGTTATCAGAAACGCCATCAACATTTCGGACAAACTTAAAAACTCATAAAAGTTCATCATTAATTCAAGTTCATTTAGAGACACCAGAAATATTACAGGAAATCGTTAGTTATGAGAACATACACCAACTATGATTTAGTTTTTAACCGATGCCATCATTAATTTGACACACGGAACGGAAGACAAATTCATCGTTAAATTCAAGTGTAATTAGAGACATCAGAAAGTATCATAGCAAATCCTTGCCCTCAACATGCAAACACCATACGATTACAGCAACATGAACCATACCACGACCATGCATTCACCATTTCATGACCATTCATTCACCATGCATCGCCATCAATTCACCGTACCATCACCATGCACTCATTCACCATGCATTCACGATATCATGACCATACATTCACCATTTAATGACCATGCATTCACCATACCATCACCTTTTCATTTAACATATTGTCCCCATACTATAACCAAGATTCACCATTCCATGCATTCATCATACTGCTACCATACACATAACAACATCATACTGCTACCATAGACATACCAACATCATACTGTTACCAAACACATACAAAATCATACTGCTAACAAACACATACCAACACCATACTGTTACCATACACATACCAACATCGTACTGCAACGATACACATACCAACATCATACTACTACCATACACATACCAACATCATACTACTACCATAGACACACCAACACCATGCTGCAACCTTAGACATACCCGCATTATGCTACTACCATACACATACCAACAACATACTCCTACCATAGACATACCAACACAATACTACTACTATAGACATACCAACACCATACTGCTACCATAGACATACAACATCATACTACTGCCATAGACAAACCAACATCATACTACTACCAAAAGCATACAAACATTATACTACTATTATACACATACAAACATCATACTGCTACCATAGACATACCAACATTATACTGCTACCATATATATACCAACATCATACTGCTACCATAGACATATCAACGTCATACTACTACCATAGACATGCAAACATCATACGACTACCATACACACACCAACAAGATACTGCTACCATAAACATACTAACACCATACTTTTCCCATAGACATACCAACACCATACTACTACCATAAACATGCCAATATCACACTACTACGATACACATGCAAACATCATACCACTACCATACACATAACCACATCATACTACTACCATAGAGATACCAACAACATACTGCTACCAAACAGATACACCTTACGGCTACTATAGACATGCTAACACCAAACTTTTACCATAGACATACCAACACCATACTGCTACCATAAACGTACCAACATCATACTGATACCATTGACATACCAATATCATACTATTACCATACACATACCAACACCATACTGCTACCATATACGTACCAACATCATACTGCTACCATGGACATACCAACACCATACTGCTACCATACACATAACAACATCATACCGCAACCATAGATATACCAAGAAGATACTGCTACCACAGGCATACCAACATCATACTCCTACCATAGAGATAAAAAGCAACATACTGCTACCAAAGAGATGTCAACACCATACACATACCATACACATACCAACACCTTACAGATCCCATAGACATACCAACAACATACTACTACCATAGACACACCAACATCATACTACTACCATACGCATAAAAACAACATACTGCTACCATGGACATACCAACACCATACTGCTACCATAGACATACCAAAAACATACTGTACCATGGACATACAAACACCCTACTGCTACAATAGACGTACCAACAACATACTGCTACCATAGACGTGAAAACAACACAATGCTACCATAGACATACCAACATCATACTACTACCATAGACATACTAACACCATACTTTTACCATACCCATACCAACATCATACTGCTACCATAGACATACTAAAACATTACTACTACAATAGACGTACCGACATCATACTACTACCATAGACATACCAACACCTTAGTTTTACCATACCCATACCAACATCATACTGCTACCATAGACATACCAACACCATACTGCTACAATAGACGTACCAACAACATACTGCTACCATAGACATACCAACCCAATACTGCTACCGTACCCATACCAACATCATACAGCTACCATAGACATACTAACATCATACTGCTACAATAGACATACAAACAACATACTGCTACCATAGAGGTACCAACAACACAATGCTACCATAGACATACCAACACCTTACTACTACCATAGACATACCAACACCATACTTTTACCATAGACATACCAACACCATACTGTTACCATAACCATACCAACATCATACTGCTACCATAGACATACTAACACCATACTGTTACAATAGACGTACCAATATCATACTGCTACCATAGACATACCAACACCTTACTGCTACAATAGACATACGAACAACATACTGTTAACATAGACGTACCAACAACACAATGTTACCATAGACATACCAACATCATACTGCTACCATAGACATACTAACACCATACCGATACAATAGACATACCAACACCTTACACCTACCAAAGACATACCAACACCATACTCCTACCATAGACATACCAACACAATACTTTTACCATAAACATAACAAAACCACACTGTTACCATAGACATACAAACACCATGCTCCTACTATAGACATACCAACACCGTACTTTTACCGTAGACATATCAACACCGTACTTTTACCATAGAGATACCAACACTGTACTTTTATCATATACATACCAACACCATACTCTTACCATACACATACCAACACCATACTCTTACCATACACATACCTACACCAAACTCCTACTATACAAATACCAACATCATACTGCTACCATACACATAACAACACCACACTGTTACCATAGACATACCAACACCATACTCCGACCAAAGACATACCAACACCGTACTTTTACCACAGACATACCAACACCGTACTTTTACCATAGACATACAAACACCATACTTCTACCATAGACATACCAACACCGTACTTTTACCATAGACATACCAACACTTTACTGCTACAATAGACATACGAACAACATACTGTTACAATAGACGTACCAACAACACAATGTTACCATAGACATACCAACATCATACTGCTACCATAGACATACTAACACCATACCGATACAATAGACATACCAACACTTTACACCTACCAAAGACATACCAACACCATACTCCTACCATAGACATACCAACACAATACTTTTACCATAAACATAACAACACCACACTGTTCCCAAAGACATACAAACACCATGCTCCTACTATAGACTTACCAACACCGTACTTTTACCGTAGACATATCAACACCGTACTTTTACCATAGAGATACCAACACCGTACTTTTACTATATACATACCAACACCATACTCTTACCATAGACATACCAGCACCATACTCTTACCATACACATACCTACATCAAACTGCTACGATACACATACCAACATCATACTGCTACCATACACATAACAACACCACACTGTTACCATAGACATACCAACACCATACTCCTACCAAAGACATACCAACACCGTACTTTTACCATAGACATACCAACACCGTACTTTTACCATAGACATACCAACACCATACTCCTACCAAAGACATACCAACACCGTACTTTTACCACAGACATACCAACACCGTACTTTTACCATAGACATACAAACACCATACTTCTACAATAGACATACCAACACCGTACTTTTACCATAGACATACCAACACTTTACTGCTACAATAGACATACGAACAACATACTGTTACAATAGACGTTCCAACAACACAATGTTACCATAGACATACCAACATCATACTGCTACCATAGACATACTAACACCATACCCATACAATAGACACACCAACACTTTACACCTACCAAAGACATACCAACACAATACTCCTACCATAGACATACAAACATCATACTGTCACCAAACACATACAAAATCATCCTGCTAACAAACACATACCAACACCCTACTGCTACCATACACAAACCAACATCATGCTGATACCAAACACATACCAACATCATACTACTACCATACACATACCAACATCATACTGCTACCATACACATACCAACATCATCCTTCTACCATATACATACGAACACCATACTACTACCATAGACATTCCAACATCATACCACTCCTGTATACATACCAACACCATACTGCTACCATACACATACCAACATCATACCACTACTGTATACACACCAACACCATACTCCTACCATAGACATACCAACACCATACTACTACCATACACATACCAACATCATACAACTACCATACACATACTAACACCATACTTCTACCATAGACATCATAACATCATACTACTACCATAGACATGCCAACAGTATACTATAAACAATACACATACCAAAATCGTACTGCAACGATACACATACCAACATCATACCACTACCATACACATACCAACACCTTACAGATCCCATAGACATACCAACAACATACTACTACCATAGACACACCAACATCATACTACTACCATACGCATAAAAACAACATACTGCTACCATGGACATACCAATACCATACTGCTACCATAGACATACCAAAAACATACTGTACCATGGACATACAAACACCTTACTGCTACAATAGACATACCAACAACATACTGCTACCATAAACGTGAAAACAACACAATGCTACCATAGACATACCAACATCATACTACTACCATAGACATACTAACACCATACTTTTACCATACCCATACCAACATCATACTGCTACCATAGACATACTAAAACATTACTACTACAATAGACGTACCGACATCATACTACTACCATAGACATAGCAACACCTTAGTTTTACCATACCCATACCAACATCATACTGCTACCATAGACATACCCTACTTTTACCATAGACATACCAGCACCACACTGCTACCATAGACATACCAGCACCATACTGCTACCATACACATGTCAACATCATACTACAGCCATACACAAACGAACAACATACTACAACCATACACATACCAACATCATACTGCTACCATACACATACCAACATCATACTGCTACAATACACATAGCAACATCATACTACTACCATACACATACCAACATCGTACTACAACCATACACATACCACCATCATACTGCTACCATAGATATATCAACACCATACTGCTACCATATACATAACAACACCTTACCGCTACCATAGACATACCAACACCATATTGCTACCATAGATATAACAACACCATACTGCTACCATATACATACCCATATCATACTGCTACCATACACATAGCAACATCATACTACTACCATACACATACCAACATCGTACTACAACCATACACATACCAACATCATACTGCTACCATAGACATACCAACACCTTACCGCTACCATAGACATACCAACACCTTACTGGTACCATAAACATACCAACACCATACTGCTACAATAGACATACTATCACCATCCTGCTACCATAGACATATCAAAACCATTCTACTACAATAGACATACCAACACCATACTGCTACCATACACATATCAACACAATACTCCTACCATACGCATACGAACACAATACTCCTACCATAGACATACCAACAACATACTGGTACCATAAACATACCAACACCAAACTGCTATCATAGGCATACCAACACCATACGGCAACTATAGACATACCAATACCATACTGCTACCATAGACATACCAACACCATACTGCTGCCATAGACATACCAACACCATACTGCTGCCATAGACATACCAACACCACACTGCTACCATAGACATACAAACACCATACTGCTACCATAGACACACCAACACCATACTGCTGTCATAGACATACCAACACAATACTGCTACCATAGACATACCAACACCATACTGCTACCATACACATACCGAACAATACTCCTACCATAGACATGCCAACACCATCCTGCCACCATAGACATATCAACACCATTCTACTACAAAAGACATACCAACACAATTCTGCTACCATAGACATACCAACACCATCCTGCTACCATGGACATATCAACACCATACTCTTACAATAGACATTCCAAAACCATACTGTTACCATAGATATGCCCACACCTTACTGCTACCATAGACATACCAACGCCTTACTGCTACCATAGACGTTCCAACACCATACTGCTACCATACATACATCAACACCATACTGCTACCAAAGTCATGCCAACACCATACTGCTATCATAGACTTACCAACACCATACTGCTACCATACATACTCCAACAACATACTGGTACCAACATACACCAACAACATACTGCTACCATAAACATACCAACATCATCATATACTGCTACCATAGACATACCAATATCATACTGCTACCATAGACATACCAACACCATACTTTTACCATAGAGATAGCAACACCATATTGCTACCATAGACATACCAATATCATACTGCTACCATAGACATACCAATATCATACTGCTACCATAGACATACCAATATCATACTGCTACCATAGACAAACCAACACCATACTGATACCATAGACATACCAATATCATACTGCTACCATAGACATACCAACACCATACTGCTACAATAGACATACCAACACCTTACTGCTACCATAGACATACCAACACCTTAGTGCTACCATAGACATACCAACACCATACTGCTACCATAGACATACCAATATCATGCTGCTACCATAGACATACCAACACCTTACTGCTACCATAGACATACCAACATCTTACTGCTACCATAGACATTCCAACACCATACTGCTACCATACACATACCAACACCTTACCGCTACCATAGACATACCAACACCTTACTTGTACCATAAACATACCAACACCATACTGCTACAATAGACATACCATCACCATCCTGCTACCATTGACATATCAACACCATTCTACTACAATAGACATACCAACACAATACTGCTACCATAGACATACCAACACCATCCTGATACGATAGACACATCAACACCATACTCTTACAATAGACATGCCAAAACCATACTGCTACCATAGACATACCAACACCTTACTGCTACCATAGACATACCAACACCTTACTGCTACCATAGACATACCAACATCATACTGCTACCATAGACATACCAACACCACACTGCTACCATAAACATACCAGCACCATACTGCTACCATACATACACCAACTCCATACTGCTACCATAGACATACCAACACCATACTGCTACCATTGGCATACCAACACCATACTGCAACCATAGATATACCAACACCATACTGCTACCATAGACATACCAACACCATACTGCAACCATAAACATACCAACACCATACTGCTACCATACATACACCAACACCTTACTGCTACCAAAGACATACCAACACCTTATTGCTACCATAGACATACCAACATCATACTGCTACCATAGACATACCAACACCTAACTGCTACCATAAACATACGAACACCATACTGCTACCATAGACATACCAACACCATCCTGCTACCATAGACATACCAACACCATCCTGCTACCATAAAACTTCTCAACACCATACTCTTACAGTAGACATGCCAAAACCGTACTGCTACCATAGACATGCCAACACCATACTGCTACGAGGGTAGCATGGTGGTTAAAGCGTTCGCTCGTCACGCCGAAGACCGAGGTTCGATTTCCCACATTGGTACAATGCGTGAAGTCCATTTCCGGTGTCCCCTGCCGTGATATTGCTGTAATAGAGCTAAAGGCGGTGTAAAACCAAACTCACTAACTCACTCATTTAGTATTTTATGTATATTAGTTTTCGAGTTAGATTGCAATTCATCGGTCAGTTCATCATTCCCTCTTCACACATGTAGGAAAATAGAAAAACTTTTTACCTGTCTCCACTGAATTTGGAGAAAAAACGTGGATCCCTGTTATTTGCTTGAATGATCCAGAAAAAAGTGTAGCTCTATGTGTAGGATTGTCCTTTTCGGGGATCACAAGGATGCTCCTGTAAGAACAATTACGAATGGAATATGTGTGTCTGGTAATGGACGTTTACGAGACCTTACATTACAGCATGGTTCAACCTAAACTCATAGTGTCAGTTATCAGAGTATCCTTTTCACTATTTCATGTCTTTTGAATGGATGGATGGATGGATTAATGGGTATGTGGAAGGCGCGTGGTTGAATGAGTGGTTGAGTGTGTGGTTGAGTAAGTGGTTGAATGAATAGTTGAGTGAGTGGTTGAGTGAGTGGTTGAATGTGTGGTTGAATGAGTGGTTGAATGAATACTTGAGTGAGTGGTTGAGTGAGTGAGTGGTTGGAATGTGTGGTTGAATGAGTGGTTGAGTGTGTGGTTGAGTGAGTGAGTGGTTGAATGTGTGTTTGGATGAGTGGTTGAGTGAGTGAGTGATTGAATGTGTGGTTGAATGAGTGGTTGAGTGTGTGGTTGAGTGAGTGAGTGATTAAATGTTTGGTTCAATGAGTGGTTGAGTGACACAGATGCATAATTGATATAAATATATGTTACGTTCATACATAAATATATACAAGTAATACAAACTAACAAACTGAAATGGAATATGGTTCAACCTAACCTCATAGTGTCAGTTATCAGAGTATCCTTTTCACTATTCCATGTTTTTGGAATGGATGGATGGATGGATTAATGGGTATGTGGAAGGCACGTGGTTGAATGAGCGGTTGAGTGTGTGGTTGAGTGAGTGAGTGGTTGAATGAGTGGTTGAATGAGAGGTTGAATAAGTAGTTGAGTGAGTGGTTGAGTGAGTGGTTGAGTGAGTGAGTGGTTGAATGTGTGGTTGAATGTGTTGTTGAATGAGTGGTTGAGTGAGTGGTTGAGTGAGTGAGTGAGTGGTTGGAATGTGTGGTTGAATGAGTGGTTGAGTGTGTGGTTAAGTGAGTGAGTGGTTGAATGTGTGGTTGAATGAGAGGTTGAATAAGTAGTTGAGTGAGTGGGTGAGTGAGTGGTTGAGTGAGTGGTTGAATGTGTGGTTGAATGTGTTGTTGAATGAGTGGTTGAGTGAGTGAGTGAGTGGTTGGAATGTGTGGCTGAATGAGTGGTTGAGTGTGCGATTGAGTGAGTGAGTGGTTGAATGTGTGTTGAATGAGTGGTTGAGTGAGTGAGTGGTTAATGTGTGGTTGAATGAGTGGTTGAGTGTGTGGTTGAGCGAGTGAGTGGTTGAATGTGTGGTTGAGTGTGTGGTTGAGTGAGTGAGTGGTTGAATGTGTGGTTGAATGAGAGGTTGAATAAGTAGTTGAGTGAGTGGTTGAGTGAGTGGTTGAGTGAGTGGTTGAGTGAGTGAGTGGTTGAATGTGTGGTTGAATGTGTTGTTGAATGAGTGGTTGAGTGAGTGGTTGAGTGAGTGAGTGAGTGGTTGGAATGAGTGGTTGAGTGTGCGGTTGAGTGAGTGAGTGGTTGAATGTGTGTTGAATGAGTGGTTGAGTGAGTGAGTGGTTAATGTGTGGTTGAATGAGTGGTTGAGTGGTTGAGTGAGTGGTTGAATGAGTGGTTGAATGTGTGTTGAATGAGTGGTTGAGTGAGTGAGTGGTTGAGTGAGTGACTGGTTAATGTGTGGTTGAATGAGTGGTTGAATAAGTCGTTGAATGAGTGGTTGAGTGAGTGGTTGAATGTGTGGTTGAATGAGTGGTTGAGTGAGTGAGTTTTAATCAATGCGGAATTTATGAAACACAATAATTTATTAAAACTTTGTATGAATATTCGTTCTTAGCCGAGGTAAGAAACAATAACCTTGTCAAAGTAGAAACTCATAAACTGCTATGTCATCCTGTGGTACCTCATTTATTAAATAATCGAAGAAATGGCCTTGTTTGCATGCTTTTTCTTGGCCATACACATATGCACTGATTATACAAATAGTGTAAGTTGCTATCAAACCTGTAAGTTCTACAATGTAGAGGAAGCCATTGAAGACTGCTATATCCATGAAGTGAGGCTTGGTCACTCTGTCCGTGTAATGTGTTTTCCTTTGTGTGCCATCCTTCATGATAGAGTACACGTTCCCGTTGTATTCGCACCAGTAGAGACGATCGGCTTCACATGATTAAAATCATATCAAGAGAGAGGTATTAAGGATTTTGTGTCCGAGGAAAATATTTCACGATTAAACATCACACAGATGCATAATTGATATAAATATATGTTACGTTCATACATAAATATATACAAGTAATATATACAAACTAACAAACTGAAATGGCTGAACGATCAGCCCTCAGATTACTAACAACTCATTTATCTACGTGTTACGTTATTGCATTTTGTTACAATACATGTATTCAGATCTATCAAGGTTGAATGCTCAGCATACAAGTCATTATTGATTAAGACATTTATTCAGAGGAAAACCAATCCACGTTGAACCCTGTTAGCATTTCCCAAATGATGATAATTACACTCTTTACATTCATTAAGTGAATTACATTACAAGGCTTTTAAACAATACATCAGTTCATGTGTAAACAGTACCTTTAAACATTATGGAATATTTTAGCAAAATCAAGTTTAGAACAGTTGACTGAAGTGGCTACATTTACACTAGTGAGTCTAAATCTTTGAATGGGTAGTATACACACGTATGCTCATTAACATCGGGTGTGTTGTAGCTCTCATCTTACATTCTTGAATTTCATTCTCAGAAAGTTGACTGAACTCGTGGTTGTTCTAATGCACTCTTTAAGGAAACCTTTCATGAAATTAAAACAAAGCACAGTTCAAATGACGCGCGCACTGACGAGGTAGTCATGTAACCATGTATTCTATATAACGGTGAATGCACCCGGATTTACTTTATTTGTTGAATAAAGAGAACTTTCTTTTCAAAATGCCAATGCAGGGTGAGACTTGAAACTATGGAAATCATTTTGTAAAGAAGCGCAGAATCATTCAGTCCTCATCCCACTTGGATAGTCTAACCTGATGTTATGTTTAAATGTTGTCAAAATAGTTTAATGGTGACTTTCTCTCAACTTTAACCATTTTGGATCTACCCAAAACTTAACTCCTCCTTATCCTCTTCCCCAGGACAGACACCCGGAACACCAGCAGCATGAACGATTCCAATTCCTGATTTACTCCAATGTGCTCATTGATGGACCTAGTGGGTGTGGAAAGTCTGTGTTTACCTTTCATCTGCTACGACATGGCTTGATCGGCCCCCTACCTAACCGCATTGTCTGGTGTTTTACTCAGTGGCGGCCATTATATAAGAACATAGCGAGCATCTGCCTCATGTGACGTTTGTAAAAGGAATTCCCTATGATATATTGGACGAGGATTACTTTGATGCTCGTCAACGGAACGTGGTGGTGGTGGTGGTGGATGATTTCCTGGCCAAAGCAAAGCATGGCAAGTATATCTCGTAGCTGTTTGCTCAAACCTCCCATTACAAAAATGTACTGATCTTTCTTCTGCTATAAAACCTGTTTCTGAGAAGCAAAGAATCGAGAGACATTGCTTTGAACGCTCATTATGTCAGCGTATTTCACTCCTCCAAAGATAAACAACAAATCAAAGTCTTTGACCGTGCAATTTTTAATGGGAATATGGATCACTTTATGCCCATGTATGAAAAAGCCTGGCTAAAAAACTGTTTGGACAACTCACAATCGATCAAAAACCTAGCATGAAAGACAAGGGTCGACTGCATGTCAACCTCATAAAAGAAGACCACGGGAGAGCAACAGCTCAGTATGAACCCTACCTGCTGATGGACCGGTTCACCACAAAAGTCTCTCTTGATATTCCATCGACCTCCGAGACAACAACAGATCAGAAGTGACCTCCCGATCCCTAACTCACTCGACAAGGAGACATATGTTCGGACACGAGTAGTGAGCGATCCTTTATTATGGCCACAGCATGTGCAGACTGCGGGGTGCTCATAGATAACATGCACGACTCACAACGACATATCAAAACTTGGTGTTCGGAAAATATACTGCCCTGAAACCAAAGAGAAAACGTGTCAGATAAAAGAGCATTCTGGACAGTCTGGGAGATACAAATCCTTCCACGGACCAATCCATCCTCAAACATAAATTCTCTCTTTCTGAAACCAAAAATGAAAGGCATGCCCATAGAAGAAAATGACACTGAATATGTCACGGTTCCAGAGGATGGTGATGATGAAGAGGAGAAGAACGATCAGGAATGAACATACATGTTCAAGATATCTCTGTGTCAGTTTCAGAATCTAGCGGTTGGGAGAAGATGCGGTTTTAACCCACGTCCAGCTTGATTCATATCTTGAAAACTCCTTGTACACTCAGACGCTCGAATTAAGACAAGAAAAGCCCAGTTTCCACATACGTTGAAGGAGTCATGAAACTGGGACACACTGGACGGTTCAAATCGTTAAAAGCATATCAATTGGTTAGTAAATAGCCACACCTTTTAAAGAAGAGAGAATGACTAGATGAGAACAGCCAGAGTTGGCATGGGTGAGCGTGTGTAACTCAGGAAAAGCGAACTCATAATTCAAATACAATTATGCTTATGCCGAAAATTTTGTTTTCCATACGACAATGGACTGCAGTAGCATGTGAATATAGAGACTGAGCTCGAACTGTTTTTATTTTATCACAGTTTTCAAGATTGAATCTTACCCATCGTTGAAAATGTCCGTTTGCGTTTATTCAATAGATCGTGAACGATTTCATCTTTTTGTTATCTGTCCATGAAGATTGCTTGTGTCGATTTGAATGGTTATTGAACTCATAAATTACGTCACAAGTTTTACGTTTTAATTATTTTATTATCATAATTAAGAAATTCGTGTTTTTAGCGAAAAGAAATTCACTGCTAAAATTCTACAAACACATTTTAAGATGACCCCCGAGATTATAAGTTTGACCTAGTCGTCATAGAACCGTACTTGCTGTATTAAGGCATTGGATATATTGGAAACACAAGCAAACACCTCTTATTGGAATCGTGATTAGGATCCATAGTTTGTGTTGAATAAAGTTGAAGAAAGTTTTGTAGACGTGTGTTTTATTCCAAGACGTCACACACTCATTACTTGCCTTGGGATATACACCTACATGAACATTCATACTTCACCACTATTCATTTAAATCTAGTAAATACCGGTTTCATTTATGACAGATAACACATACGCAACAAATAAAGGTTCAACAAGGTAAAACCCATGATCCCTTTGATTTAACCACCTTCAAAATAAACACATGTACAATACATTGCAACATCAATGAATCGGCTTGGCGAGACCACTAAGGTATTTACCGAAGTCTTTAAATAAGACTGTAAGTAATTACAAGCCTAACCTGACTTTCCCCTTGTTGGTATGGTCGTACCCCACTTTGCCGGACAGCTGATGATAACGGATTAAAAGTAACGGTCCGGTAGCTTGCCGGCTATAGTCTGTTTTCAATGAGTAGTTGTCACCCATAGCACAGGACCAAAAGCCGGATAGTACAGCATTGAAATAAACGTAAATACAGTAGGAAGACATGCTATGACCAGATTTACGTATGTTTCCAGATATTTCCTAACTTCGGGCATAAATTTCATACAAATCTATACCTTTGAAACATATGCTCATCGTACATTTTCATATGCTCAAGTACCTCGTTCAAGTATGCTATGACCGGATTGTCAGGTATTTCCAAACATGAATCGCAAAACAGATACCCCAGTGAATACATGATCATACAGTATTTCTGATGCATTCCTTTGAATTTCAATGGGTGCTGAAATTTCCGATTTCGTTGTAAGTTTACTCGGGTTGGGAAACACATGTAAATTTTCAAAATTGCAAATGTTTACACACCTCAGATATTTATGCATCATACCGAATTTCAGGGATATGTATATGAACGGTTCATACATCTTCATATTACTTGTGCTTAATCAAGATGATCATGTTTCCATCATGTGAATTACTTGGTTCATGTAATTTCATTTTCACACATTTTAGTACGTTTGAAATCAACGTTCACGTGACCTCATTATTCTCATCGCCAAAAGAGCCTGACAAAGAAAGCTGCACTCGCTCTTGCTACTGTAATCAGGATCAGTTACGCCTTGTCTGCGGTGTTGGCAAATCTTGTGAGGTGCTTGTTTCGAGAGATTGCGATGAGCTGCCCCTTTGTCCTCATTATTACAAAGCACCAATTTGTTTTGAGTGAACTCGATTTCTAGTAAATAATTTGAGTGAACTCGAATTATATTAAATAAATTGAGTGAACCTTATTCAAAGGATTATTTCTGCCTGTATATAAAGAATGTAGATATGATTCCCTCATTGCAAAATGGCAAACGCGCAAGTTAATATTGAGTTCATTCCGAATTCAAGAGGAGGTAGACACTTAATCTATCATGGTCACAAGTTTAGGGTTAAGAGCACAAAAGGGGACCGAGTTCATTGGAAATATTGTAAGACAGGTTGTCCTGCAACCGCCAACACCGCAGTAATGTTTTCAGCAGTTCCAACAACATACACAACCTTGACACCTTTCTTGCCACGTTGAAGACCAAACTCCGGAGTGATTCCAGACCAGTTCAGGCTACTTACAATGAAGAAATAGACAGTAAGTTTAACATTGTGGACATGACCAAAATACCGTAACATATAATTGAGATACTGAAATGTGCAATGGATTTTGTAAATGGAATATCAAGTCAGTACGATACCATGTTATATTTCTATATTCTATTTTATTTGTTATATATCTTATGTTTTTGTTTCCAGAACTCCAGAGAGATGTTCCCGAAGCAGTGCCGTCAGTGCCCCCTTTCTACGGTATTCATTCCAGCCTGTACCGATCTCGAGCCAAGGAAATGCCAAACCTGCCACGCCGGCGCGACGACTTCGAGTGAGTGAGTGAGTTAAAATTTATCGTCACATCGGCAATATTTCAGCCATATCGTGACGAGAACAATTAATTTTATACACAGTAATTAAGGGTAAATTGTAAAAAACCTGTCAACGAAGGACAGTAAAATAACTAGATTATCACAGATTCGATTTAAAAATATTAATTAAATCTAAAACAGTTTAACTATAGATG